CATTTTAGCAGCACCTATTTATGCTGGGATCATCATTTCTTATAGAAAACACTAACAAACACACAAGTACAGCTTTTGTGTCAAAGGCAAATCCACAGCATGTAGTCAATGTATGTATAGTATGTGTGCCCTATTTATATATGTGTCCCGTATGTGTGTTTGTGAGTGTTTGATAGTTACGTGTGTTTGTAAGTGAGTATGTATTATACTGTAGGTATCATCCATCTTCTCTCCAGACCAGATTTGTTGACAGCTACATGACAGCTTCTATATCCCTGCTGTATCAATTTTTTGAATACTCTCCCAAAGTGCAATGCAACATGTCGTATAATGACCAAATCAATTACGGCGATACACAAACACATTGAGTTCAAATTGAACTTTGATTCCCCATTGTTTGTTTTTTCTTTTTCTGTTGTTTCTGACAAGGTAACAGCCAAAGTGAATTGCATGTTAAGACAAAGCTGCTGTAAACCGCCACAAAAGCAAAAAGGCTGTCAGGGAGTTAAATCCTTGAAGTTAGAGGTTAAGAGAGTCGATTTGGGCTTGGCTCGGACCATTTTCTTGTTTTTTTTTTAAACAGACTGGACTCAGGCTCACTTAACTTCTCTCCTTTGATTGTCCTGATTGACCTTTTTACGCTAGGAAAGTAAGCAGGAAGCATCACATCACACACATCTCCTGTGTGTCACAGTATAATGTCAATCACAAATGTTCTTTGTTCTAAAATGGAGAACGTTTTCCAAAAGGCAGCAGTACACCATGTGGCAACTACAAATTGTAAATTGTATGCTGCATTTTAATTCAAGCTGTGTTTAGAATATAACTAGGCTATAAAATCTATAACAGCGGTGAGTGGATGAACCGTGTGTGAACATGCCCTTCACAGATGCGCTGCGCAAGCGATCGACCTGCACGGTGAAGACAATGAATAAAATAGAATAAACATTCTGTAAATGCCTGAAATATGGGGATTGTGTTTATAGGAAATGCACAGCCAAGGTGCTGAATGTTTCCCAAAGTGTGTTGGAGCAACATGTAGCAGAAATAATCACAAAATCACTGCATTTTTATAGCGGGAAAATTTTACCCGCAACAAAGCACATATCACAATCTTGTATACTAAATAAAATATAGAGTTTATTAGGTATATTTCAGCAATTAAGATCCAAATGTAAAATATTGAAAATTTAAGTTAGTTTAATCTTCATCAAAGTCGTGCTGATCTTGCATCAGACAAAGATTTTTTTTGTCACAGGGCCAGACAAAAGCACATTCTGACTATGATTTTAGTTTGTTTAGTCATTTTTACTTTAAAGCTTTAAATGGTTGTCTGGATGCCTGACTCAATTTGTAAAAGCATAGAAAATCAAACACCCCACTGATTTAGCAGTGAGTTCAAAAGTTCATAAATTCACAGTTCTGCTCATCCTGAGTCTCCTTGTTAAAACAGAATCTAACCATCCATCTATCCATCCTGTGATTTTCCCAGCTTTTCTCATCTCTTTAATGTTTCTGTTGCACTCCCTTCCTACTCTGTTTTTTCATGTCTTTTCCTCCCTTCTTTCATCCATCCCTCTTTCCTCTACTCTATCCGCAGATGCTGGTGAGTACTTTACGACCTGGCCCCTAAGATTTACACAGGGACAACTGAACATTTTGTCACCGTGCAGTGGAGCAGATGGAAAATTCATTGCAGAGTTGGAAGGGCGAACTTAGCATAAGACAACAATTCGCCACAATGTCTGTCTGGCAGGGAGTGAGGCAGGTACACCTGTCTGCATACACAATGCTACAGCTGGAGGGGAAAAAATCTAAAATCCTTGAGCCTGAGTCTGACTCAGTTTCTGTCACTATCTGTCTCTTTTGGTTTCTGATCATGTCCTACTCTCTTGGGTTTTATTTCTTTCCCTCTTTGGAATATGGTCTCTTTCTCTTTTACTCTCTCTGTCTCTCAGTTTCCCTCTTTCTCTATTTCTTTGTCAGCTGTAGCTGCAGCCCTGTGTACTCCCTGTACAGCTTGAACAGCATTTAATCCATTGCTGAGTGGTTTTGTGCCCTTAAAATGTCACATCATCACCACCACCACACATTCACCTAAAAAAAACACCCCTGAGGAGTTTTTTTACTTCTTCTTTTAACAATCTGACTCAATCTGTTGCAAATTCAGAGAGCAAACTGACTCACTAAGCAGCACGCAGGCAGCTATGATGGGAAAATATGAGGAGGATAGGTTGTAAGAACTGTGTGTGCTTGTGTTTGTGTGTGGGTTTGTGTGTGAGAGAGAGGTAGTGTAGGTCAATGACAAAGATTATTCAGATAAGGTTGCTTCAATGTTTAACTTTTGCAGTTCAGTCATGCACACTTACATCACACATACACAGATAGCAAGCCACATGTTGCATCAGTATTGCGCAGCACCAGAGTCAGTTACAACAAGACTCTGTACACCACCAATTATAATCGACCTCAGGACTAATGGTAATGGGAATTGAAGCTGACATATAATACCAGTGTATGGATGACAAGGGGTGGGTTTGATGCTCCTGTGAGTTACAGAAATATGCAAGTGAAGGGCATGCAGACACTGCCAATGTAGAAGTCCCACTTATTAATACATGCTCTCTGCTGCATGTTTGCCACAATGAACAAAGGCAACTAGCTAAGAAATGTTCAAGCTTTATTCAAACTATTTCTTGTTGAAATAGATCAGATTTGTGTCCCATGTAAAATAAATACAATAAAGACAATTTAGGCTTCAGTGCAAACTCAGCCGTACATATTTGTGCTCATTTGTTTTTTTATTGAGTAACAGTTTAAATATGCATTTCTGAAGGACTGAACAGACGAACGAAGTGGGATTTCTGCCACCTGGCTGGTGCTGCTGAGTGTGTGATATAAAACCAGGGCTGTGTTTGTTTCACATTCAAATCTATCTGCTTAAAAAGTGGAATGACTTCAAAATCAGTCACATTTACCAGACAGCCAACAGATACTGTGTTTAATAACTATCTTTTCTATTTGTAAAGCTAGGGTAATGGCCCAGTTAAAACTTTTGGTATTTTGTTTATATTTGGTGTAGGCAGAACAAAAGGTGACAGGATGCTAAGAAAGAAACACACTCCAACGAATTGCAATTTCAGATTTCACCGTTTAAACTGATGGGAACTGAAGATGAGTCAATCTCAGCCCAGACACAGTCTCAAAGCAAAACCATTATTATTATGTTTGAGTCCTCCTAGGCTTAGACAATGTAACATGGGTTAGATAGTGAGTAGCTGCTGTCACTGGCTAAGCGGTGAAGTGCTGAATAAGAAAAAATGACTGGACACAAATGGTTTACCGTACAGAAGGATTGCGATGATTTATTCATTTATAATGTATAAGTGTAGATTTGTAAATCTAGCTGAATATTGTACAACACTGAATGCCAGTGCATTGCCATTTTAACATACCCAGAGGGTTTCTGCTTTCATCTACATTGAAGTAAGCAACCATGCTTCATATGAATACAATCAATATTTATTCAATTTAGGACTTCACTAGTGTCTGCTATTGTGCATGGTATGCATAATTCTTTGTGCTGGGCCTTGCAACCTCAATTTCCCTCAGGACAAAAAGTGTTATTGTATTCATGTGAAGTCATCTCATATTCTTAACAAAGAACTGTGACAGTAGTTTAGGGCTATGCTTTCTATTGGCTGATTCCCTGTTGTGTCCCCATTGTTCAAGTCAACATTTTGATTATTGTATTGCTAAATGACATTGATATTCTCCTGTCACGTCTCTGCATTGCAAAATAAAATCCAGCTCAGTTAACAATGTTTAGCTCCTGTGTTTATATTGCACATGGAGGATTGGATTTTAAGGAACTGGGCTGTATTAAAACGAACACTAATACATGAAGCCATTTTACAATAAAGCACCTTTTGTTGGAATCATCTTCATTCTCATGAGGTCTCATTATCACTAATAACTTCAGTTATATAAAATATTATTCTTTACTCAAGACATACAGTAATTGGTGTCACATCCTTCAAAGGCTGAATATCTTATTTTGATATGTAACCCATTTATGTATTTAAATGCTTTATGTTCAACAGTTTGAAAATAATATGCTGATCATACAGCCAAATAAAAAATTGAAATATATTTTCTTTCAAATGTAAGGCCACATTCTTTCAATGAACATAGCATTGGAAAACAGATGGCTGGTTCACTGTCCTTGTTCTTTACAATAGTTCAAATGCTTTGCTAAGTCTATGAGCGTGACAAACAATTGAATTGTAGGCATGTTCAGTATTTGATCGTCACAACAACTGTCAGGGTCTTGTCGTAAATGAAAGCATGTTGGTATGCAATGAGCTGCAGGGTATGTTTTGTGATTAAGGAGTGATTTGAGAAAACTGGCATCGTTCTTCAGTGGAGAATGGTGCTATTTAAATTGAGAAAGTTCATTTTAGGGATCAACCAAATTCATCCACCACATAAACAACCAAAACTTACAGTATAGCTTATGCATTATAACTCAAGTTGGCTTTATATCTAACAGGGAGAAATGAAGTTCCAAAGTTTGATTTAGTTTGCAGCTATCCTTTTCTTTTTTGATAGATTTTCGGTGTTTCTTTTTCATATGAAAGTCTGATGAAGATCAGAAGACAAGTCCAAATACTCTACGCTATCGACTGTGCATGAAAGCAGCATAGATTTACTGCTGTGTGTGCGTATGTATGTGGATGCAAGACAGAAAGAGAAGGTTCAAACACAGCCAGCGACACCCGTAGCAGAGCAGACATGCAAACAAATGCAGTAAGATGGCAATGAAAGGAACGACAAAAAACAAAAAAAAACAAAGTCAAGAAATAAAGGGAGGAGGAAAAAGGAGGGGAGGGCAGGGGACAACCAAAATGAAACAGGGTTTGTGTTGTGTTTATGGTTGTACTGTGATGAAAAAATATAACATAGGGAAGAAAATATTCTGCCTATAAAGAAATAATCACCTTCGCTTGGGATGACTAGAATGTACGGCGTTGTTATTTGTCCCCTACCTATTACCACTAAGGCCAAGGGCCGCACATCCCCGCCGGAAAGCATGAGAAAGAGAGGGAAGAGAGAAAACAAACAACAACAAAAAGGAAAAGAAAGAAGAAAAAAAGTCTAAGAAAAAAAGACGTATACTTTTCTTTATCCATTTCATCAAGGTTTAGATCTCCCTGGTTTACAATTGCACAATCTGTCTTAGAGGAGAGAAATTGCAGTGGTGAGAGATCACTATAACATTAGGATCAATAGGACAACTAGCACTCAAGATTTGAACTGGGATATGTCTGGTCATATTGCCAGGAAGTACTGTAAGTGTCAACGAGCATCTAGGCTGGCCCATTACCAGGACAAGGCTTAACAGATGTGTTGCTGGTGAGGATGTTTTTTTTATCAAAGAGTGAGTCAGTGAATACAGATGTGGTGCTGGGGGTTATCGTTTGAATTTGTTGATTCTGCCAGCTTGGCTTGACGGGTTAATAAAAATAAAGGGAGTAGGAAATGGAAGAGAAAAGAAATGAAGTGATGGTTGAAAGAAAAGAAAAGTATAAACTTTGTGGCGTGGCAAAGTTGGTGCAAAGACACAATCTAGCCTCTGGGTTCTGCTGCAAAGGTTTAGTTCACCCAGAGACAAAATCAGATCAGTAAGTACTTTCGTCACTGTTAAGAACAAATAATTTGTTGATTTTTAGATAAAAGATACAGCAGCTAGACTGAGGTAAGTAGGTGTTACTCAAATAGTGTCCTGGCAGATAATGTCCTTATTAGCTTTAAACACTGAATGGCTTGCATGGTGACGGGGTGGTAGCAACCATGAGCCAATAAACAAAGGTTTATACTATTCCCAATCAAAAAATAGAGTGCAGAAAAAATCTGATTGGCTAACTCAGTCACTTGGTTAAGCCAAAGAACCATGTTTTCAGATAACACACACAATAATTTGCAAAAATAAAGCAATGATCCACGATAAAGTCTACCAATATACGAAAGTATATAAATAAATGAATGAGTTCAATGATTAATACACAAATTTCCTCCATGATCTATTGTTTTCTTTATCAGGAAACCTGGGTGAGTATAATCACATGTAGACAATAGCCACTTAGAAAAGGAAAACGACACAGACTGTGTTCAAATCATAGTCAAGTTTGCAGCATCAAGCAGAAGTTTTCTTGCTGTGGTTACCCACAATTGAACACACAGTATGCAAATGTATAAAAGTGGCAACACCTAGCATTGGCACTAGTTCAATAGAATGGTAACACATAAATCTTAAAGAATATTAGCAGCAATGTCAGCCTAGATGAAATACATAGAATGTGGTTTTTCAGTTAGAGCACTAGGCATGATTATTGTACATCGTCTCTCTCCTCTTTTTTCTCTTTACCTGAAGGCTTCCATAACTTGTCCAAAAACATGGTCCTTTGGTAATGTCTGTAAGCTTCACTCGAATCTGGTTCTCTGACTTTGACTGATACTTGTATAATTAAAATTAATTCTGCCCCAAATTGCTGCCTGTAGGTTTTATTCTGACCAGCTGATTTCACTGATTAGAACACACTAACACGGACAAGTGGCATTATCACTGAACTCAGCTGCTGTAGCGAGTGGATAGCAGGTATTGCAAATAAGTTAGTCATAGGGATTTGCAAAATTTGCCATCTGCATTGCCTCAGCACACTGCCCACATATCAAAAATATTCAAAAAGTACATTTCAAGTTTGTTTTGGAACAAATTTTTTTTTTTGCATTTAGTCATATGAAAGACAGCCACAAAGTTAAAAGCATGTCTTTTCCCAAGCGCACACACATGCAGACAGACAGAGAGCAGTGTCTACACACTGCAGACCTGCACCTACAGTACTTTCTACCCAAAAAAATAGAGCCTGAAAATGGATATAGCAAGAAAAAAAGAATGATATAAAAGATGTTCACAAATGAGCACTAAATGATTGATGTAAATGAGAAATAATAATAAGAGTGAGAGAGACAGAAAACAGAGAAAGGAGATGTGAAAAAATCAAATCAATGTTTGATGCAGCCGAATAAAATAAAATAGAAAAAAATAGACAAGGTGAGGAAAATCAATACCAAGCTGAAAAGCTTTCAAAGCACATTGCCTGGCACACAAATGGGTGTATTTGCCAGAGATGAGCAGCAAATAAAGATGGGAGACATGGGGAAAGCAAAACAGAATAGGATGAAATGGGTTCTGCGACTAACGCTTTAGCCTCTATCCATCGGGTTTAATGAAGGTGGGCAATCGGTATGTAATGGCCCTGATGTTCCACTTTATACACTGATGAGCAACATGGATGCAGTATGAGTTGGAAAAATAGAGAGCAGGATAGAGGAAAAATTGGTAGAATGTGAGACAGAAAAGGGTAATAACTAAAAATGATTGGGAGAGAGGAGATAAGATGGAGAGAGAATGCTATGCAATGAAATCATGCAGGATAACATGGTTAGGATGTGGGGTTGCCTGGGCTAAAGGTTGTGGCTTCACCTCTTTCAATAGTGTGTGTGTACATGTGTGTGTTCATCTCATCTAACACATTTGCAACACTGCAATAATATAGTTAGGAGTCAAGTAAGCACACTAATCTTTAAAAAAGAACTTCTCTAAGAAGTTAAAAGTTAAATTACATGTAAAAATAATATAGTATTGTCTTTACTGTAACTGCATGCTGAGTAGCAATGGAAGGGTGCCCATACCTTTGTTTGCCAGGCGGACACAGTTGATTTTGGTTTCCTGTGGGGAGAAGAGAAAGACAGACAGACTGTTTAGGTAACTTATTACAACTTGTTACAAGACTTTTGTTTATGAGTGTGATGTTTAAATGTATAAGCAGTATATGCAGTCATCCTTGATGGAAGAGCACAAAAACCACAAATGTGTTTTTGCCAGCTTTGGCCATTCAGTAAATTATTGTTACTCTGACTGCTGAGCACCCAAAAAGTATAAGTTTCCATACAGGCTGCAATTGGTTTCAAGTTTTCAAGTTTCAAGTTTTTTCACCTACGTAATATTGCGAAAATCAGGAACATCCTGTCTATAAAGGGTGCAGAAAAATTAGTCCATGCATTTGTTACTTCTAGGCTGGATTACTGCAATTCCTTATTATCAGGCTGCTCGAAAAAGTCCATTAAGACTCTTCAGCTGATCCAGAATGCTGCAGCACGTATTCTGACAGGAACCAGGAAAAGAGATCACATTTCTCCTGTCTTAGCTTCTCTGCATTGGCTTCCAGTAAAATCCAGAATAGAATTTAAAATCATTCTTCTTACCTACAAAGCTCTTAATGGTCAGGCACCATCTTATCTTAAAGAGCTCATAGTACCTTACTACCCCACCAGAGCACTGCACTCCCAGAATGCAGGGTTACTTGTGGTTCCTAGAGTCTCCAAAAGTAGACTAGGAGCCAGAGCGTTCAGCTATCAAGCTCCTCTCCTGTGGAACCAGGTTCCAGTTTGGGTTCAGGAGGCAGACACCATCTCCACATTTAAGAGTAGGCTTAAGACTTTCCTCTTTGATAAAGCTTATAGTTAGGGCTGGCTCAGGTGAGTCCTGAACCATCCCTTAGTTATGCTGCTATAGGCCTAGACTGCCGGGGGATTTCCCATGATGCACTGAGCTCCTCTCTCCTCTACTTTCTCTCCCTCTGTATGCAACCTTATCCCATTATTGCATGTTACTAACACAACGTCTCCCCTTTCTGGTAGTCTTGTGCTTTCTCGTCCCTCTCCTCTCTCCTATCACTTCCTGCAGGTTTTCTGGCTCTGGAGCTGTGGAGTCTGGATCTGTGGCTGCGGGTCACCTACTGCCCCCGTGTTCCTGCTCGACACCCTCTACTGCAACGACTATTGTTACTAGTCCTATTATTATTATTGTTATTATAATCATTAACACTACTATAAATATCTATACCATTTTTCATTTAGTCTATAGCAACATTACCTTTACTGTCTGTACCTCTGTGTGTATATTGTGTAGGCTGCCTCCCTCCCCTCTCTCTCTCTCCTTACATCCCTCTCTCTTTCTCTCTCTTTCTCTCTCTCTCTCTCTCTCTCTCTTTCTCTCTCTCTCTCTCTCTTTCTCTCTCTCTCTCTCTCTCTCTCTCTCTCTCTCTCTCTCTCACCCCAACCGGTCGAGGCAGATGGCCGCCCACCCTGAGCCATGGTTCTGCTCGAGGTTTCTGCCTCTTAAAAGGAAGTTTTTCCTTGCCTCTGTCGCCTAGTGCTTGCTCTTGGTGGGAACTGTTGGGTTTCTGTAAATAGCATCACAGAGTACGGTCTAGACCTGCTCTTTTATGAAAAGCGCTGTGAGATAACTGTTGTTGTGATTTGGCGCTATATAAATAAAATTGAATTGAATTGAATTGAATTGAAGTTTTACCAATTAACTTAATACTGATTATTCTGTAGTTAATATGAACAACTTGAGTTGGCTACTTTCTTGCCAAACACAGGGTCTTTTGCAGGGCAAAGACCGTTTTCAAAACTCTGTGGTGCATTCAAAGATGCTCTAACATACATGAACACAAAGCATTAAGTGGATAGCTAGCAATGTGAGAATCACAAGTCAAACAGTAAACAAACTGATGCTGTAAAAAATACTACATAACTGTGTTAATTTATTGCATTCGAAAGTCTGTTTGCAAGTTTGCTAAATAACTTTGCAAAAAAGTATGCAAGTTTCTGAGGACCGAGTGTCCTTCAATGCAGCAGTGACCACTTTCAAAACAGTTCCTGCTTGAACCTGCCATTTTATAAACGAATGTGTTGAAACGGAGTTATCCAAGTCGTAACATATGGACGCATGGCCAAGAGCCATAGTCGTCAGTTTGAATCAGTTGAATGTAATGGGGGAAGCCCTGTAGCGTCGGTTTTTGACGGTAAAGGTATATGATATTTAACAGAAAAGACTGAGTAAGGAGGTGGTTGGTGTGGATGGATGGATCGAGGTCCAAAACCCAGGCTTTGAACTAGGAGACCAGGGTTCATGTCCCCAGTGAAACAAAAAGTCAACATTAAATATTTTTATTTAGGCAAGTTACATAAATTGACATAAGTGATGTTAATTAACTTACTTGTTAACTGATGTACGTAGTTATTTTAACCCAAACGATGATCTTTACCTAACCTTAACCCAGATTTGTTGCCTAAACCCAACCAAGTACTTTTTGTGCCTAAACCTAACCAAACTGCAACGTTTCACGACTTTAATAACGCGCTGTTTCAAAATGGCGATGTTTCGAAATGCTAGCATTTTATGTTGAAAGTCTAACCAGACATTGCATATTTATCGTTGCTAACTTTACCGGACGTTGTATATTTATTGTTGCTAAGCGTTGCTAACTTGACCACGAAGCCCTAAACCTCAATAAATGACGCAAAGGGGCAAGGCCCAGATCGTTAAAAGGCGACGGCAAAGGGCCTTGACCAAGCGTCAATATGTGACGAGTCGGGAATGAGAATTTGTTGTCTTATCAGTAATCTTTAAAATGTACATGTCACCAAAGAAGTACAAATAGGGCAGGTCATAACCTCTCTCTTAAACTCAGCCTCAATCTGTCACATACGTCTTTGTTCTTTTGAGCCCATATGTGCTTCAGTGCCCTCCTTTTTCTGTTCCTCACACTTTATGTTCCTGTGGTTCTGTGGTACGTCCACTGTACCTGTCATTCTCTTTCTGTTGGACTGTCACCACCTGAAGAGGCATGTGGTGTTTATTTTTTCATTCTTCACTGCTCCTGTCTTTGCCTCTTTTCTTCACTCCATAATGTGCTGTCACCAGAAAGTGTAAGTATCCAACCCACTTGTCATACAGAGATTGGCCTCCTTCACATATTGGCCTATTTGTCTTCATCAAATCCGATTACTACAGCTGCTGCCAACGCTGACGCTTGTCACTAAAGCATTTGAACGAAATAACTCCCAAGGTACTCCCTCCCCCAAAAAAAGTTCTATTGGCAGCTACTTTAACACAACAAATTAACAAAATAGCTAATTTCATGGCTACTGAATGGTAGATGTTTTGTATAACCTGCATGGTATATCGATTTAGCTTGTATGCGTCTATTGACTGAAGATGTTCAGGTATGCTGAGCTCACTCTGAAATTACAACTCAGCGTTTTGAAACAGCCAGAAAATCATCTTGCAGTGCTCAAAACTGATCATGTTGATTGATGAATGGTGTCATCACAATGTGACATCTACCTGCAGGTGTCACATTGTCAGAAAATGATGGAGAAAGATGGCTCAGGGGGCAAACTAAGAGACAGAATGAATACAGTTTAATATTCTATAATGTTGTGGCTGCATTATGTGAAACTGGATTTTATTTAGTCATAAAATGACAAAAGTTACCTGCTATTTGTTTTAATCACCATGTGTTTTCATTTTGTGCAATAAATCAGTCACAGCGAAAGAGAATAATGGTGCTTGTGTCTGCATACTGATGCCTCTGTCTTTGCGCATACCTGTGTGTGCACGTGCTAGGAGCTAGTTTATGAAGTTGAAGAGCAGGGAAGATGAATGTTCGTAGATGATAGATGGTGTGAGTATCTCAGCTGGATCTCTTCACAAGAATGAACACACCTGCTTCTACTACGTCTCTGTCTGCTTTCTGTCTGTCTGTCTGAATGACTGAACAAATATTGTCTTCTTTATTTGATTATCCTATTTGTCTCTATTCATAAATGCATAATTTGATCGTGGGCAACTTGTTCAGAAACTGAGAATGAATGCATGTTAACACACACACACACTCACACACACACACATGGATGGCCTCAACTGGTGTTCAGTGTGTATTGTCCTACATATTTATTAATTTAACTACTTATTTTCACTGATAACCAAGATCAGAATGTTATATGTAATGCATACATATTTCCCCTTGGTACAGATTAATTTCATTTGAATTATTGCATTATTGCACCGTGCTTAAGAAATGCTCCATCACTGTATAATTTTTCCGTAAAATAAGCTCTAAGTGAACCACTCGTACATATACTTTAGACACTGTAATGGGATGATAATAAACTTTAAAAGTTAAAAGTTACTTGACCATATCTAACATTTTGCTTATATTAACATATGCATATGTAATCAATGGGGATAAAGCATCACATAAGGCCGCAGCTATAGATGTCTGAAATCAGGAGGGTAGTGTATCCCATCCTAAGTGTGGTGTATATCCTACAAACCCACAATGGGAAAAAGATCAGTTCCCTGAGCGCCAGTGACTTGTGTTTTCTAGAAATTGGCCATATCGTGCTTATTTACGGTCCATTTAGAGGTCCAGCTGTTCTGGTTTCACAGTCATTGTAATAGGCTAAACCTCAGGAGTTTGCAATAGGCAAAGTTAATAAATGTAAGGCCAATTTATTGCCCTGCATCTATCCAAGGAAAGGGGGGGGGGGGGGTGTTTACGGTGGAGACACTGGAGACACAGTGTGTGTTTCTGTGTGTGTAGTAGTTAACTTTGTAAAGCCTGACAAGAATACCAAGTGCGTATAGGAGATGCAGCTGCTGTGTGGGTGAACTCTCTCTCTCCATCTATCTATCTTTCCGTGTGCCCTGCTCTCCTCTCTCTCTCTATCTTTCTTGTCATGAAACAGTTGGTTGGGTCAGTGTTCTGACTGACAGGCAGGATTTCCAACCATGTGTGTTTTGTGTCTGACTTCTGGATTCTGTGATTGGCTGCTGGGGTTCCCAGGCAACCCAAGGTAGCCAGGGTAACAACTTTTTTTCATGTAAGTCTTCCTTCTTAATTTGTTTCTCAACTTCATTTTTGCTAATGACATGAAATGTTCACAAACAAAACCAATTCACATACAAATTTTAGTTTGACTAATGGCCTGTCTGTCGCATGCATTTACACACACATACATACATGTGTGTGCACAAATTCATACACAGATCTGCCTCGAGGCCAAAGCCAAGCAAGTATGTGTGCTTTCCCATGCGCAGACACACACACACACACACACACACACACACACACGCACACGCACACACACAAACACACGCACACACAGAATAAAAGTCCATTTAGGGATTTTCGAGTCAGCTGAGTGCATCTTGATTGACATCGACTGTCAGTTGGTAAAATGTCTACCTCCAAAACCAGCACTCTGAGGTGTACATGGTGTGGTGTGTGTGTGTGTGTGTGTGTGTGTGTGTGTGAAAGACATTGATTGTCAGAGTACCTTGGCCTACCCCTTAGGCTTTTTACTTGTCAAGAAAGGCGTCTGGCTGTATTTTTCACAGCACGGGAGGGAATGTTTTTCCATGTGTGCCACCGTTTCCTTTTGTTTCGTGTCAGTTCTCGCCCCGTTTCTCTTCGCCTTCTACCTTTTTTTTCCCCCAACAATTTGCACATTTGTATTTTTCCTCCCTACCCCTTCTGTCTCCCAGCTTTCTCATCCATCCGTGTCTTCTTCTGTCCCACCATGAATTTTCCTTTAATTTCACATCTTGTAATTTATCTGTTAAAGTGATGCTCTTATCTATGTTGAGTGAGTAAGAGGTTGGCCCATGCAACTGTGTGTGTGTTTAATCTTCCTCCCTTTAAAACTATTGACTCTACTCCCCTCATTTTACTCTTCCTGCATCTTTCTACATTCTTGATTTATTCTTCTCATCCATGATTCTCTCCCTCTTATTTCCCCATTTTTGATTATTTATTATTCGTCTTGCCTCCTCAAGACACTCTCAAGGGATCAGTACAGCATGCAAGAAAAGGGTAGAATGATGAAGGTAGCCAGGTATAAGGACTGGTATGTGCCTGGGACCTGGCGGGAAGGATTTGCTCCGAACAATTTTGGGTGATCAGGCCTGGCTTGCAGTCAGCATTTCATCCCTAAGGTCTTATATGGGGAAGTGGTTAAGACTCTATGAAGGTAAGTTCTTCCAAACCAAACTGGGGAAACCATTTGTTTATGGTACTGGTTTTTGCCCCATCCACACTACTCTGTTTTAGTTTAAAAACGGAAATATTGGTATAAAAATACCAAGTCAAAAACTTGACGACTTATGAGACCCAATCAGAGAGCCAAACGTGAGCGTCTGCGTCATTGTTTCTAAAGTCCTCCATTTTTGCCCATCTTCACTAAAATGCACTCCGGAGTTTCAAAACAAAAAACGGGGTCTGCAGCATTTTCAAACTTCTCCATTTTAGGTCTTCATTTTTGCCATTGTAGTCTGGGTAGTCTCCGTTTTAAAATGAAAATGCAGTAGTGTGGATGGGGTCTGTCATAATGAAACAGGAAAGGGCCATTCCCAAACTGTTGCAGCACACCATTGAATTCTGCAGTAATAAGATGTCTCTTAATTGGAACTGAGGGGTCTTACCAAACAACCTTTGTGGTTTAATATGGAGGACTTGATGTAAAGGTCTCAGTTTCTTTCACTCTGCAAACCATGTCCTTCCTACCCTCCTGCTGGCCTCCATCTTTGCCTCCAGTATTATATCTTCTTTAATGTCTCTTTCACTCTTTTTAGACTTTTATTCCCCCTCCATCTATCATTCCTCATCACTAAGTCCCCAATCACTCTTGTACTTACTTCTCTTACTTACAGCCCCAGGCACTCTTTTCTTGTCATGTGCTTGCCTTTAATATATATGTGTGTGTGTATTTGAATGTGTGTGTGTGTGTGTGTGTGTGTGCGTGTGTGAGTGTGTGACATCACATGACATCGAGGGAGAAATCAAGATTGCCGTTGGTGAGGAGTTTTAATATGCAAAGCGTTGGCTAATTGGCACAATGGTGGGAAATGAGGGACTGGAATCAGACTGATGTCACACAAGAGGGGGAAAGAGAGGTAAAGAGGAAGGGAGAAAGAGCGAGAGAGCAATGGATGGGTTAAAGAAAAAAATCAGAGGGGTAGGAAGTTTGTAAAGGAAAAATAAAGGAAAATAAAGGTAAGAGGACAGGGAAAAAATTAAGGAGAAAGAGGAAGGGGAGGAAAAGGTTGAGGGGAGGGGGAGGGGGAGGGCAAAAGAGGGAGACAGGGGTGAGGAAAGAAAAAAGTTGTTAAAGGTGAGAAGGAGTAGCTGTATAGAATGAGGGTGAAAGAAAAACAAGGTAAAGAAGGCTGGAAGAAGCATGTATGGGATGTGGGGATGAAGAGAAGGAAGGATTGAGGGTAAAAGAGCTGGAGAAAGAAGAGGGAAAAAGATTGAGGGAGGTAGGCTGAATAAGAGCAGAGGAGGAAAAGATGAGGGTGAAGAAGAAGAGGGAAATGGAATGGAGGAAAAAAAGAATGTATATTAGAGATAATATGAGAACAGGAAGTGAGACATGTAGTAGTAGTGTAGTTAATTGCTTCCTATTAGAGAGACAGAGGCAGCATCAGTAAGCAATGCCATGAGATGGAGAGTGGGTGGATTGAGAGAACATTTTCTTCTAATTGTTTGAGAGAAGAAGTGACAGAAAATGAAAGAGAAAGAGGGAGGAGAGACGTTCTTTTTGACGGACAGGTGGCGCTCAGAGCGGGTAAAAAAACTAGCAGGATTATCCTAGACAGGCTGAAAATGAGAAACAGACTTTCATCCATGGGATCAAACTACAACAAACCAGCCAAGTCCTCTAACATGTAAATTAGGAGTTCCAATATGAGACATCCATTTCTCAGGGGGAAAAAAGTGACATCTACTCTCACAAAATGACTGACAGCAAAGAAATAAAACAAATTACAGGACTTTGTGAGAACTGCAGATAACTTAAATCCATGATTGACAAAATATCATTTTCACATACTGCAACAGTATATAATAGATATTGAATTTAGAGAATAAATTATTCAAATACTGACATTCTTCTTTGTGCAGAGATGGGGCTCAGCAGTCTATTCAGAGTCAAATGACAACTGGCCACGGTAGATTCACTGGCCAATTTTATTTCTCCATGGCCAGAGCAGCTTTCCAAACACACAAAAAAGAAAAAGCTGGGGCAAGACATTTATTGTCCTTTTGTGTGGAAGGAGATGTCCTTTAACCAGACCGGTTGGGTTCAAGCTATTGTCAACAAACATTCACCCTGCTGATGAGTCCTTGAGGAAGGACTGAAAGTCTACCAGCTGCAGCTGTTGTGGATCTGACCCTGACCATTGATTTCCCGGTGAAGTGAGCAGGAAAAGACACAGCTAGGAGAATCAGAGAGACTGTCCTCAGCAGAGAAATGATAGTGTTGGTCGTTTTTATTTTCATTCACCACTTTCAGTCAGGCTAATTGTGCAGATGCACATAATGTTGTTTTATCACCCCAAAACTTCTTTGGGAGGAGGATACAAAGTTTGACAACAGAGATCAAGGTTCACAACAAACCTCATTTAAATAGCCTACATTGACCCAATGACATTTTTTTAAATGTAACACACTAACAACAAATTAGGATATTGGAGCAAATATCTAATGTCTCTAAAAAGACAATATAAAAATAGTAGACTAATCTTTTAGTTACAATAGCTGAGAATAATGATGCATATGTATTACATGAAACGGTTTCTCTTTGGGATGGATGACATGTGCAGAAAAAATTTATTGGCAGAAATGCATGAGTTTGTCCATTGGTTATGCCTGACTTCCTTATCAAATCATCTGGGTTATGGTGGCTGTGCAAGCCCACTTGCTTTTCTATTTACTTTTAGCCACCAACCCCCACCAGCACCCCCACAATGCTTCAATCCATGACCCAAACAAACCTCATAGTGATTGGATTGACTGAGATCCAATCAAATAAGGAATTCTTATGTGACCGGATTTAGGGTCTGCACATATACAAACCACACTCATACACGCAACTGGCAAGCACAAGCAAAAGCACCCACACTTTTAAATGCATACTCATCAGCTCACATGCACGCTTCAGTCATGCAACAACCACGCTCACCCACACCCACTCGCACACAGTATTCTCTCCGTGTGAGTGCATTGTGGGAAATCTGCCTTCTGGAGGAGGATATTACATCACGTCGCCAGCCACCCTGCCCGGCCCTGCTCGCCAAACCGAGTTACCGTGGTTACGGCAGTGGAAAATTAAAACAACCCTCACAGGGGTTCAGAGTATTATGGAAATTCAAAAGCCAAGTTCAAGTTGTGAATGAGTTATGAGAAGGAGGGAGGTAGGGGAGGTGGGCGGGGTGTTGTTATATTTGCAGACGGTATAATTGCCAGGCAAAAAGGCGAAGCAAACAGACGGATGGGTTCTGGAAGTGAAGATTCCCAGAGGGAGTTTCCTTCTTTTCTTTTTTTTTCTTAATAAGAAGTGACATAACATTCACTTTAATAGAGTAGGGCCTTATGAGGGTAATTTAAACTGCTCCTGTGCTACTCTTTCTGCTCACCTCAATCACTGATGCTTTTGCCATCACTGATTGGGGTGTGGCAAAAAGTACTCAAAGTCTCAACTTAGGTGTGAAACAGCAGCAGCAGTTTCCGGCCCTCTGTGAAGCTGAGAGGATTTACTTTTAAACAAAACTGTTAACCCTAACCATTTAAAAGCTTTCAAATTATCTCTTGGACAAGGGTGTTCCCAATGCATTTACTGATTTGTCTAGGTTTTCACAGATTTTTATAGAATTTCAAACATAATTTGGCCAAAGTACCCATGACAATTTTCTTTCCTGTTATTATAATGTACTTTTGGAGTCTTGAGACTCACCCCATTGGCTCTGCTCATGGCCTGGAAGTAGATGCTGTAGCTCTTGGCCGGTGACAGTGGAGGATTCCAGAAACCGCCGTAGCTCTTGTTGTCTCCCACCGTGAAAGGTTGTACAACTGTGAGACTGGATGGGGGCAACTCAGCAGCAATGTAGTAGGACGAGTCCAAAATAGAGGCATTGCGGAAGCTGACCGGTGCGGAGAAACATTCGGGGGCTTCGGAGGCGGCACGGCGGGTCTTGGACTTGCGCTCCTCCTTCACAACAAGCTGGTAGGAGCTGGAAACAAAAATAAAGTTAAATAAATAAATTTTCAGGAAAAAAGAAAATAAATGCTTTTGTGTGCCGTTTATCAACCGTGCTGGTGTGAATATTTTTTGGAAAGCTTTGACTGGATGAAACATTTACTCATTTGGCTTTTTTACATTTGAGGAACAACATACAAGCATCAACAGAGCATCAACTACAGATCTACAACTGACAATACATACTAAACAATCCTTCATTGTAATATTGTAGAAAATTTGAATTTAATTTTCTGTCATTTGTTATTACTTTTTGGGTCGGGATAATTTTATAGAGATTCTTGTGTGGCCATCATTGAAATTTCATCTGGTCAATTAATGCAAGTCTACAGGGTTTCAATCAGTTAATGTGGGGACAGAGGTCTACATTGTGATTTGAGTTCTTAAAACAGGTGCATTTTTACAATAAATATAGCTTAATTTGGCTAAAACATTATTAGTTTAATCTGACAATTACACTTATCCCCATTATTCACTTTCACTATCACTATGAAGCACCCGCCATTTAAAAGCTTTCATTTCCAAAGTGCTTTATATCCATTTTGGCAATAAAAGCATTAGCAGAGGGGCTAAGGTCTGTAAAGAATCCTCAGGAAAATGTCTATTATCCTTGAAAAAGAAGTGTAATTTGCTCCAAGGGTCACTTCTTTTTTCCAAATGGTAGATATACTTTGGAAGCAAACTTCACCTAACTTTCTAACAAAGTAGCTGGCGGATCATTTCTTGTGCTGACTCGGCAGAAAAGTATGAATTAAAAGTAAGAAAAATATCTGTGTGAGTGTGTATGTGAGAGAGAGATGTGAGGTTACTGTCCTGATGTCCAGATGTGTCTCTCTCAGCCCCGTGTGTCTGTGTGCACACAATCTAGCAAGTGTACATGTACCTGCATGTGGTTGTGTATGTGTGTGTGTGTTCTAACAGGTGTATAGATGTGTGTTTATATACTTACTACTGCTTTTTGTGTGTGTGTGTGTGTGTGTGTGTGTGTGTGTGTGTGTGTGTGTGTGTGTGTGTTTGGGGGGGCTCTTGCATGTGTGTGTTTGTGTGTGTGTGTATCTTTCCATTCCCCTCTGAGAGGCTTCATGAATGGCTGAGGGCTCCTTTAGCGGTCAGGACAAACGCAGCGGACCTCCGCAATTACCTCCATCCTCCACGCCAAGAACTCACTTCACAATTATACGCAATTAGGGAAATGTATGTTTCTGTGAAGGGGGCCGTGGCCAATTATCCCCAGCTCCCGTTTGGCAGCTTTCATAAAAGATAATTGCTGATGACCAAAGATGAGTCTCTCTCTCTCTCTCTCTCTCTCTCTCTCTCTCTCTCTCTCTCTCTCTCTCTCTCTCTCTCTCTCTCTCTCTCTCTCTCTCTTTGCTGTTCCTGCCTTTCTGGTGAAATATCCATTTCAAACTAATGGCTTTCAGAAGCTGCACAAGGGATGAAGCAGAGGCCTAGTACAAGGGGCGAATAGGGAATTGTCTTTGTGTGTGTGTGTGTGTGTGTGTGTGTGGTCATAAGTGCGTCCGTGTGTGTTTCAGTGTGTGCGTTTATATGCAATTGTGTTTAGGTCTGTGAGTAACATATGTTGATATCCACTGTTAGCCTTTAAAACTGCCTTCCTCTGTGTGCATTTATGTGAATGCACATGTACAACATCTGACTGCACATGCTGGTGTATGTGTGTACGTGTGTGTGTGTGTGTGTGTGTGTGTGTGTGTGTCTCAACCACAGCAGCTGCTCCTCTTAGCAGAGCGATTTCGGTAAACATTTCTCGTCTAAGCCCCTGAACTCGAGATTCTCTGATCTTTTCAGAATAAACAAAAAACAACAAACCACAAAACATTAGCGTACACATTAACCAACAGATGCCTTTTTCCTGTTACCCCACGTACATCTGTTGGCACTTAAAAAATGTGATACTTGCAAAACACACAAAATAGGCAAACACGCAAAGGGGCTTATCTCGGGTTGATAAAGATGTGATTGGAGAGAAGCCCAATGCAAAACAAGATATATTTGCCAGGGTGATAAATGGTGAGATATGGTATAGGATTTACAGATATTAACACTAAAGTATTGACCCTGCTTACATTTCACAAATCCATTTCCCCAAGTCCAAACTAAAGTGATATATATTCTCTAAGTACCCTTGCAGAAGCTGTATTTCCCTAAAGGCAAGCGCAGAAAAATGTTCTCCCCTACACCAATTAAATGGATGAGATCACATGTTCAAAATTAACTTTTAATTAAAAAACACACTGGCTGAAAAAATGAGAAAAGGAGCTTTGTGTCCATTGTAAAACAAAACCAAGTTCAGTTCACCGAGGGACTGGAATAAAGACACTTGAGTATGTTGTGGGTTTATATGATTTGTATAATTTTTTTAATTTCTTTTTTTATAAACAAACAAATACTCATGAATGATGACAACCTGCTGCTCTTCACTACTGTTACTTTAGGAAAAGGGTATGACTGTATCATCTTTCAAAATGTTAACGTTTATTGCCTGTTTACTGCATTCTAATGCAACTTGATTGCAGCCTATTTATAAGATGACTAAATACAAAAGTATCAGAGTTGATTTATGAACTGCGTGGGAAGAATGTATCCCAGTATACATGTCTGTTATACCCACAGGTATAGGCAGGTGGTGTGGCCTGGGAATAAGGCCTGTCATGTCTGCTTGGAGTTGCCTCTCCAAAAGGCGGTGGCTAAAAGGCTACATGATGCAAGTGACTAATGACAATGCTTTTCACTGGCAAAAAAAAGAGCTCCCATTCTACGAGTTCCTTTGCATACAAATTGGATTTATTTATTATGTGTGAGTGACTTTAATGGCTTCAAAAGAGACCCTTGAGTAAGATGAGAGACAGGAAAGTGGATGGAAAGAGAACATTAAAGTAAAAAAAAAATAGGAACTTGGAAAAAAAATATATAAAGGTAAGATATTACCTGATAGGTGCACCACGTGATTGGGCGGGCTTTAGCAGGATGGTGATGGTGGTCTCTGTCTCATTCAGTGGAGCCTCAGACTCATACTCTGGCATCATGGGGGCTGATGGTAACAAAAAGGAGATGAAAAGTAATGAAGTTGCAGAAAGTGACATCTAAAAAAACAAGTTTCACTGTACTGTACATTTGAACGTACTCTATGTTCTACACTGTAAATGATAAACATTAGTTAGGTCTTCCCAAATTTCCCCTCAAACCAACAAATACTTTTCAAAATTGTGTAGTATGCAGGGACACAATTATGTGTGACAAATGATACTATACATGGGACATGTTTTCCAGAATTGAACACATTCTCATGTGAGTTCTCAGGCTATCAAGGCAAAACATATTACATTCTTTTGAGGTTAATATAAAATAAAATGTTTCCATCCATATTTCCAAATAATTTCCATCTACATGTTAAACTCTTGAGTTTGATAAATGTCAACATAGGCTGATGCATTATGTACATCGTTAAAATAACTCAAATCAACAAATCTCGTCCTGCTCTGATATTTTGTTTTGATATTATTGCATCATATGATGACTTCATTCTGAAAGGCTTCACGGAAATGCATGTAGGAGGTGCAGCATCAGTGCCTATCTGAGTGAAACATCAACTCTTTTCCTCCTGATTGATGTGGTATTTAATTCGAACCCATCCTCATACTTCCATCCATCTCTATCTGTCTGCATTATTTAATTCAAATCTCTTCATTTTTTGGACCCTGAATGAGATAATGAAGATTGGCGATGGCGTGACCTTTGGAGGGAGACATCTTTGTAATGTGTGGAAGTGCCCTGTTTTTTTGGTGTTAAGATTTTCAAAGGATGATGGAGGAATAGAGGCTCAGTGGAAAGGTCATGCTAAAATTACTGTATGTGTTGACAGATAGGACAACGCTGATAACATGCTGTTGACACATTTAGACTGTAGTCTAGTGTGTTGTGTAGGTCAGCGGGAAGAGGAAGGCATCAATACTGCTAACGTACAAACAGAAACTTTGGGAACCATTCTTAGATTGAAATACATTCCCCAGGAGGTTAAATGTGAAATCCTTTTATCACAAATACACTTTGGTATAAAAAAAAAAAAAAAAGATCTTATGCCACATTTCCCATAAACCGCAAAGCCACTTGTACTGTTACAAACAAAGGAGAACTGGTCACTTGATGTGGCACTGAACAATTTCCAGGACTGAATGTGTGTAACTGCATGAATTTCAAAAGATGCAAGCTTGCCTGCTCAGCATACCCACTCTGGATATAAAGGCTAAAAAGAAAGATTTATGCAGTTATCTCTGCTTCATATCACATGCTTGTTAAGTGAAGTGATGCTGATCAATTATGTAATGACATAACCATAGAAATGATAACATCCTGAATCTATTCTGCATTGGTACTGCAGACAATTCATTACAGACACAGCTCATCATATCATCAGTTTCAGTGTGCCTTTAATATAAAGATGGACTTGGGATTTTAAGAACTACTTTTGGCTCTGGGGTACAGGGACTGTCTCGCACAACTACCTCAATGAGAAGGAAACAGAAACGACAACATCCTGTGAAGGAAAAACAGATATGCCATTTGAGAAGGGATCATTAGAGAAAGGTAAAAGAGGGAGAAATGGTAGGAACAGAAACAGAGGACGCATGTGAGATGAAAGAAAGTGATTGAGACACTGAAAGAGGAAAGGAAAAAGCAGATAGACAGGAGAGGCAGAGATACTGGGCAAAGAGAGACACAAAGAATCACAAAGTGAAAGGTTTTTATTTTGCATCAGTCATGAACACCCTTCACAAAACAGTTGGAATAGGAATAGAGAAGTCCTCTTGTTCCAGAATAAAGAAATACATCACACGTGAAGGCATTTCACAGTTCTTGCCAAGGAAGTTGATTGTTTTCCTTTTTTGTGGTGCCACTGACATTTTCTACAGACCGATGCAAGCAACATAAGCAGAGGGTTAAAAATAAAAGAAAACATCAGATGAAAACAGTCACACAAATGGACAAAACCACTCACAGACAAGCCTTCAATAGCCGTATTTCCATTGTTTTTATGCGCATTTTGAAGTATCGCATTAGAAAAGGTTGATGGAGGCTAAAAAGTTTTTACCCTCGCTTGAGGTGTTTTTTGCCTTTGTCAAAAAATAGTTAATGCGCTAAATGGGAGGTGGAAACATATTTGCCGAATAAGTTCCGACGTAGCAAACATGTACCTCACGACTGATCGCTGTTGCCATCTTGCCGGATATTCCCATAATGCGCATAGACATGGCTGGTAGCAATTTGACCGCTCAAAGAACATTCACGAGGACCTCTCTCCATTTTTCTCAGATCCATGGTCCTCAGGTCCGTGCGACTGGTTTTGTTTCTGGTTTGTGTAATGTACTGATGTACCTACGCTTGCCGTAGCCTGGTTTATTTGCTCCAAACCAGCTGATGGAAATGCACTGAATTAGCATTTTCTGTTTTGTTTCTTTTTTGCAACATTTCAAAGGTCCGCTTAAAATTGTCTTGACAATTAGATGGAAACATGGGTCCTTCTTTAACCTGCAATTATTGAAATAAGTGTGCCACAATGTTTGTGTGCTTTCAGAGCACAAATCAAAAAAACGCCATAAGAAATGAAAAGACAAACTCAAAGAAACAAATAACACATTATTTATGTAATTATTTTTGTGTGAGTGAATTAATGCAAAAAAGTACACACAATCAAACAACTCAAGAACAAGAACTATTAGCACTTCAAAATGTGACAAAGAATTTGTACCTGCTATCTTGGTGGTGATGCGGGTGGTGACAGGCGGGCCGAAGCCCTTGTTTGTAGAGGCTTTGAGGGTGAAGAAGTAGGTGGTCCCTGGGTAAAGACCAACGAACAGGTGATGGGTCTCATTCCTCAGTTTGAACACCCTTCCCCTCTGGGTTGTCAGATCAGCGCTGGGATCCAAGGAGCTCAGGGCCTTGTAGGTAATCTGGAGGCAGTCAGGGGACAGTTTTACACATTTTAGCTTTACTCTATTCAATGTGTGTTAGTTTGGATATATTAATCTCGGCTAATCTCTAAATCCCTGAATTTACCATTTTATTCTCATAGAATCTCAGAGTTTTCTTGTCTCCAAAATTTACACCTTCAATCTCAAGTTTTTTCTCTGATTATTACTCTGTTCCCTTTCCTCCCTATTACACGGTTGTAAAGTTCAGTTTGGATATTGTTTGTTTAATTTAAGTGTGTTTTGTTACTCTCTTTCCAAATCTCTGGGAAATTAAGAATGTAAAATGCTCTTATTTTGTCTGTAAAGGACTAAAGCCACCTGTTATGAAGAAACCAGATTTTTGTTACTGAGATTTTAGTTGTTCCTCGCAACTGTACGTCAATGTTCTTTTTTCCTCTATTTTTAGTCCAAAACAAGTTTCAGAGTTTAACCGCAAAACCACCTCAACTGTCACATCAGAGCAAGTCCAAAAATTCAACCATATGTTATTAAATCGTCTGTTAAACTTCATACAAATCAATTTTGGAGTTGAAGTGATGTCTCTTTACAGCAGGTCTGTGTTTCTCCACATGATCTCCTCTCTGAGACTGGAACAAATTGAGCAAATTGACCCATGGCCACTAAACTAACAAAAGCACTTAAATAGTTCAACTGTCAATGCCTGTCGTAATGTTGCTATTGGCAAGTTTCCACTGTCATTGACTGCCCACATGGACACACACACACACACACACACACACACACACACGAGCACACAGACATTGGAGGACAGCTGTCAATGTGAATGACAGTCAATACAAAAGTGTATTGACTGCTGGGAAAAAAACAAATTAATAGTAGTTCAACCCCAAGTGCATTTCAGCACATCACGAAGTATGTGTGTGTCTGTGTCGAAGTCGAAGTGAGAAAAGAAAACACTATTTATATATTGTGGAAGCAAGGTAAGAATGACTGGGTGAGGTAGAGAAGAAGAATAATCAAAAGAGACAGAATCCATTGAAAAGACAGAACACATGAATGAACCAGAAGGAACTCCACCAACACAAATGTTCACATGGAATTCTTCATGTTTCCTGTCATTTGTCTTCTGGGTTTGATTTCTTGACAAAACAGCATGTGAGGCAACACTGTTTCTCTGACTGCCAACTAGGAAGTCCCAGTGGAAAACTTTCCCATCAGAGTGGAGCTTAGCTATTGCTACAAAAAGAGTAAATATCTAATAACTAAATGTCATTCTCACATCCCCATCAAATTCAGGAAATGATAGAACTGAGAGAGCCCTGTGGGCCAAATCATGTCCAAAACTGTTTGTTATCTGCTGGGATATCTTGCATCATCAACAGACAAATTAGGTATGCATATTCAACTTTTAAACATAAAGCATGAGTACAAAGAAGATATATGCATTCAAAGATAGAACAAATGAGCAGGAAACAGATACACTGAGTGTGTGAAAAAAAAAAATATATAGAGAGCTCTCATAATGGACCAATGGTCTAAGATAGGTACAATATCACCATCAACTCTACAGTTTGGATTCAGCTGGGGAGCTTTGTTGCATATGATGCTTATTTCCCTTCTGCCCGTGTTTCCTGCCACACTCCAATCTTGTCTGCCCACTAAAACTGGGCTCAGACTACAGTAGTTTTAAACCTAAATGATTTTGAAATTGGGTTGCAAAAGCAGATGAGCATGAGTGTGGGTGAAAAAATGGTTTAGGAAACACGGTCAACACGTCTTCTCAACCATTTTCGACTGATAGACACATATCTGTCAATAGTAGTATGCTCACTAATGTTAGCATCAATTGCTTGAATGTTTACCATTGCTTGGCAACACCGTCACCGTCTCTTTTGTGACGGCCCCAGGTTTGTGGGTGTTACACACGGTAGCTCCGCTTTAATCTTGACAAGCTGCAGAGCTGCGGTCTCTATTCATTCAACTTACACTGTAAATTTCCAGCTAAACTGAGGCTTTTTGAAGACCCTTTTCTCTCTCTCTCGTCTGTCATTCACCTGTCAACGGCCGTGCTGCCGACAACTACATGCATGTTGCGTTTCCTCGCGGGTTTATTCCAAGTAGCTGGCTATTTGAAAACTATAAAATATTCTTTGTGTGGTTCATCAACGGTGATAAATTATCCAAATGTCCCGCGAGGTGTTAACAACTCGGCACAACACAAGTGAAGCCGGCGCTCTGTCTCTTCAGCAAGTTTTCCACTTCCGCCACCACACACACGCTACGCCTACACATGTGCACTGACGACCCAGTCTCAGGTCTCAGACCAGATATGTCCTCAGATTGTCGGGAGGGATGAATAGGGGATAACAGTCAAGGTTCAATCTCAGGTTCAATGTTCAATTTTATTATCATGTGTTTAAAAATACAATACAATCTGGCCCCAACAAATTAGCCCCAAAATCCTGTAGCCTGGCTTAAGGTTCTTTAAATCTAGTGAGCTGGATCAGATAGCGGAGGAGGCTGCAGATCGACCCAGTGACACCAAAATATATACCGATGGATTACAAACAACGGGCACTTCCTTTCCTCTTTCTGGATTAAAGCGGCTTTGAAATAAATTCACACAGAACACAGACTGCGCTAGAGAGAGTTAAAGTGAGGCAGTAGGAGTAGGAGTGAAAAAAAAATACTGAGCTTAATAAATTAATGTTTTCCAGGTTCAGATACACACAAAGATGCTTGCACAAGCACACAAAGATACAAGACGGATACCAGATAGTGATTATCTTTATGATTATCTTTAAATGGCTTGACATTTGGCATTATTGTTCTCAATTTGCATGCCAATAAATAACTGAAATTGAGATAAGGAAAGACTGAGAGTAGCTCATATTCAGTTTTATCATATGCTTTGGTAAAAAAATAAGACTGTTGTGATAAAAATAGTATAATGAATAGTAATGGAGAGGGATAAAAATAGAGAAAGTCAAAGTAAAAGAGAAAAATGAATACATGAGAATGAACAAAAGAAAAAGAGCATTAGAGAGCCAGAGCCGAACTGAAGCTATGAGCGAAACTTGACAAGATGGAATGAGGAGAGAGAGCAAGAGAGCAAAAAGAAATAGAGTGATAACAACTGGTGTAGATGGATATTTGTATAAAATGGGTACTGTGGAGGCTAGAGGTGATGTGCGTGTGTAAGTGTGTGAGTTTGTGGGGTGAGACAGTGGGAGGAAGATCTCAGCACTCCACACTCGTAGACGTCAGGCAGCCCTTGTCGCTCCATTAGCGGACTCGAATCAAAAGCACTGACAGCTGCTAGCCTCACTTCGACTAGGCCTGCAGGCTGGAGCGGTGATGTGTGAATGTGTGACTATGTGCATATGTGTGTTAGAGAGAGGAAGGGAGAGAGAATGGAAATGTTGATGGTGAAGTAATGAGATACAAATAAAGAAAGCAAACCTGATTGAAACACAGTACAAAGACTATTCTTCTCCAAATACCTGAAGGGATCATAGTGTGCAGTCAACACAAATTCCAGGCATGGATGTGTGATGTCACAAATGCTACTTTATGTTTTTTTGTCAATCCAAAAACTATTGATTCTAGTTTGTGTGATTTATTTTTTTTTATCTGACTCTGGGGTGAAGTGAGTTTGACTGTGTCTGTGCTCTTTGATGTAATATGTTTCACGATAGTCATACCAGTTAGAAGCACATGAAGAAACAGCTCACTGAGCATCAATCCAGACTATGGTTGGCTTTGAGTTCAATTTATTCCATTAGGTTTTCCATTTTCATTGAACTGCTTTCAGATACATTAGAAGTCTTCTATACTACCACTACTACTACTACTGTATAGTAGATGTCTACTGTATCTCCTGATGCCCATAAACTTAACTGCTTTTTTGGGTATGTCTTGCGCAGGAGAGTTTTTACTTCTAATATATGACTCTCTTGTTAGAGGACTAAATTTATAATGATTGATCAAAGCCCCCAGATTCACTAAAGAGCTAAGGTGGGTGGGACAAATAACATTAAATAAATAAAACAATGTTTTCTTCATTCTCATGGTGCAAACTTCAAACATTTCGGCTGTAGCTCAAGTGGTCCTTGAGAAAGATGTGGACCTCTAAATCGCTCCAGTGCCTGGATAAGGGTAAGCTTTGGATGAAAAAAACACCTGTAAAAATGAATATGATGCAATGTAACTTCTGACAATTTGTGCAACCACTGTATATTCATGTGCTGCTGTATGGGCAGCTATTTCTGATGATGGTGGTGGTCAGACTTTGTGTAAATTGAATGGTTGGATGCTTACATTGCGCTAATGTCTCACTTTTGTAGTGAATATCACTTGAGGGTCCCATGTCTAAGTGTTTGAATTGTTTCATTGCCAGTGAACTAGAAAAGTAAAACAATGGTCCCCACTTTCCTGGCACTTAAATCCCCTGGTACAACACACAGACAACAAAACGCCACTCAGATCGAGGAACTTGGGACGAAACCTTTGGCCAATAGAAGAAAGCAGTATAAAATGCAGCAGAAAGCCCTCCACAGAGCAGCAGCCTTGCCTTCGACAAGCAGCTGATGTCTCCCAGGCCTCCATGTTTGCCTGGCTGGCTGAATAAAACATGTTAAATCAATAGCTATTTATACTGACTGGGACTTAGGGGCTGGAACAATAAAATATCATCTATTTCATCTACGCTGCAGTTTGGTTTGCACATCAATGGCTGTTATTTTATAAGTCATGAATGGCTGTCTATATTTTTATGGGCTTGACTATCTCTCTCTCCTTGCAATCATCTTACCCACCCGCACTCTCTCTTCCCTCTCTTTCCATGTTACGTGATAGATTCTCTTTTTCTGTTTTATCACTTTTTCCATTGAGTTAAGTATTTTCTGTACACCCTTCTCTATTTCTCCACTATTTCCTTAATTTTCTTTTCATCTCTCTCTCTCTCTCTCTTCACACTTGATCTACTCACCCATTGTCTTTCTCGTTCTGTCTTTCAA